AAAAAAATATTGAGGAGAAGTAACTGGAAAGAAAGTGAAGAAACCCATCTCTATTTGTAGATGATGTGGTTTGGAAAACCCAAAATAATTGGCTGAAAACTTAGTATAAACAACAGGAAAATTCATCAAGATAAACTTATTATACAGAAATTAATATATTTCATGTGTACAACCAACAGCCAGTTAGAAGATATAATGGAAGAAAAGACTCCATTTGTAATATCAACCAAGATAAAATACTCAGACCAATTAAGAAATGTACATGACTTACATACAAAAAATTTAAAATACTCTTGAAGGGCACAAAAGTAGACTTAAAAAATGGGAAGACATACAAAGACTGAACATTAAAAACATATCAATTTTCCATAGGTTAATTTATAAATTTAACATAATCCAAATAAAAATGTGTACTTTGTTTTCTGGTACAGTACTAGCCAAGTTAATTTTAAGACTCATATGAAAAAGGAAACAAAAAAGGACAGCTCCATACCTCTGAAAAAGAACAATGAAGAAGGACTAGATATATTAGGTATTAAAATATGTCACTAAGCCTCAGTCATAGAACTGTATGTTTTTGACATATCAGTGGAACAGAATAGAAATTCCAGAAGTAAAATTAAATATACATGGAATCCAGTTTGAATTAAAGGTGGTATCTCATTTTTATTGGGATAGATTTTTAAAGATTTTATTTATTTATTTTTACAGAGAAGGGAAGGGAGGAAGAAAGTGAGGGGGAGAAACATCAATTGGTTGCCTCTCGTACCCATCCCAACCAGGAACTGAACCTGCATCCCAGGCATGTGCCCTGAGTGGGAATTGAACCAGCAACCTTCTGTTTTGTGGAAGGATGCCCAACCAACTGAGCGACACCAATCAGGGCTGGCATAGTAGTTCTTAATTTTCATGTTGCATGAGAACCACCTTGGGAGCCAGTTAAAAATGCAGATTACTAGATCTCACCTCCAGATTCTGATTCTGTGTATGAATAATCTGCATTTCAAACATGGACATCTGGTCAGTGGATTGCATGGGGGAGGGAATGCTTATGTAAAGCATTAAACTCCCTGCTGGTGAACAGACTTAAAAAACTAAAACCAAATACTCATTATCCTGAAATTAAGGATATCATTGAGCTCATACCATACTATTTAGGTCACCAGGCACACAAGGTAATTTCCATCCTGGAAAAAAGGCCTAAGTTGTTTTGAGATTTCCTTCCCCTTAGACAACCTCCATATCCTCAATCTTAGCAATATTTTCTTTATTTCTAGATAGAGACTGAATTTCATTATCTAAAGAAAACAGTCTGATATGTTTAGAAAACTTCTGACTATTTTGTCATTGGTTCAAAATATATGAATTGAAATTTCTGATAATTTGAAGGGTTTTAAGTACTTTAATGAGGGGGGGGATAATTTTTAAAGTATGTTTGATGTTTACATCAAATACAGGTAATACAGGTAAATTCACATGGTTTAAACCCAGAAAGTGTAAGAAGGAATATAACAAACCCACCTAATTTTTTGGAACCTGACAGTTCCCACTGCCCCAACACTGTACTTCCTGAGTTTCTTTATTCTTCTATGAGCAAGTACAAATAAAAGTTCTTTTTCCTCACTCTTTTTATATGAACGCTAGCAAGCAATACATAGTTTTGCCTTGTTTTCTTCCTTTAAAAATGTATTTTGGAGATCTTTCTGTAGTTAATACACAGATATCATCTGCATTTTTTAAAAACAGCTGCATAAATTTTCATGATATGGAGATACTACAATTTATTTAACCAGGCCTCTGTTGGTGGACATTTGGGTTTTTTTCTAGCAAATGTTCTTGTTTATATGACAAGGTCTGTCCAGAAAGTATCAAGCCACATACTATGAAAAACACAGACATTTATTGAAGAAGATACAAGAAACATTGTACATAGGACAATGACACTTCAGTCTCCTTCAAATGACACCTGAGTCCCCTTGGGACCTCACACAGTTCTCCCAATTACCATCAGCTGCCCTGTCATGTTTTCCTGAATTTCATTGATAGTCTGAAATCTCTTCCTTTTCAAAGGTGATTTTAGTTTTGGGAAAAGCCAGAAGTCTCAGGGTGCCACATGTGGGCTGTAGGGGGGCTGAGTCATCTGGGTGATTTTATATTTCACCCACAATCTCAGCAGGAGACATGATGCGTGACCAGGCACATTGTTGTGATGAAGCTGCCAATCACTGGTTGAGGCCTTCTGAATCATCTGAGTATTTACTGCAGAGCAGTGCTCAAGCTTAATGCAAAATTTGATGCAGATTCATTGCTTCACTCACTCAGTACACATTCTCATCAACAGCATGTAGTACCCCCACTCACTAGTACAGTGAAGTCATCATTGTTCACACATGCCCATTCCAGTCCACTTTCCTTGGCTGCCAGGTTACATCAATGTTGTGCAAACCATTCTCTATATTTTAAAAAAATATTTTATCTATTTTTAGAGAGGGTGGGTGGAGAAAGAGAGGGAGAGAAACATTGGTGTGTGAGAGAATCTACTGGTTGCTTCTGTCATGCCCCCAGCTGGGAACCCAGCCCGCAACTCAGGACTGAGGTGCCTCTTCCCTGGCCTGGAATTGAAGGAGCAACCCTTAGGGTCATTGCACTGAGCCACACCAGCCAGGGCAGAACCGTTCTCTTCATGTTAACAATGGCTGGACTTTTTCTGGACAGACCTTGCATATAACCATACATCTGATTAAGATTACTGGAAGGATATGTCCCGTGCAGTGAAACTGTTAAACTAAAAGATACATGTATGTATTTGTAATTTGGATAGATACTGCCACCTCCACAAATGTTGTATCCATACTCATTCCCACCAGCAATAATTTCTCTCACAGTCTTGCTAATAGTATGCATCTTCAAACATCAGGAGAGGTTTTTTTGAATAATGGTTAATTTTAACTAGTAATGCTTTAAAAATATTTTGTTTATTTATTTTTAGAGAAAGGAAGGGAAAAAGAGAGGGAGAGTAACATCAATGTGTGGTTGCCTCTTGCATGCACCCAACTGGAGACCTGGCCCACAACCCATGCATGTGCCCTGACTAGGAATCCAACCAGTGACCCTTTGGTTTGCAGGCCAGCACTCAACCCACTGAGCCATACCAGCCAGTCCCAAATGTTAGGAGTTTTGCCCTGGCCAGGTAGCTCAGTGGATTAGAACATATATGTTCTACATGTGCCAAGGTTGCAGGCTACATACCCAGTCAGGGCACATAGAAGAATCAACAAATGAATGCATAAATAACTGGAATGACAAATCGATAACACATCCATGTTTCTCTCTCTTTCTGTTTCTCTCCCTCTCTTTGCCTCTGTCTCTCTCCCCCTTTCTCTCTGTCTCCAAAAATCAATAAAATAAAAACTGAGGAATTTTATCATTCTGTTACATGGTATACTAGTCAAGTTTTAATATGTATTTCTCTTATCTTAAGTGAGGATAAGTATCTTTTCATGTATTTCACTGTCTGGTCATATCCTTTAGGACTAAGTCATATAACAGATCTTTAATTGTAAGTAAAACTCCCAATACACTCTCATAGCAAGAATTCAGTGAAAGCTTGGTTCGAACTCACTTTAGCAGTCCCTTCCTAGCACAACCAAATGCCCTGGGCTTATCCTGTACCTACCTGCCAGCCCAGGAGCTAGAGGTTTATGGGACCAGTTCTTTTCTTAAGTGGGAGATGGTATTACAGCCCTAGGGCTGGCACTAGCTGTGCTCACTGCTCCTGGAATATATACTCTTCCCAGAATTTTCATCAGATAGAGTTAGGAAATATGTGCATGTCTATACACATATACATGTATGCACATTTGTGTGTGTATATGTGTGTATGCACCCATACATGCATATGTACCTGAAATATATGTGTATATATACAAGTTTTGTAAATGGTAACTGATAGCACTAATTCCTGTCCATTTCCATGGGTTTCTTGCCTTCTTTCATCCCACATCTGTATATTCATTTTTCCTAAGTGGGAAGCCTGATTTCCAACAGATCAACGCACATACTTCTCTTGTTCAACCCTATAATACGATACAGTGCAGAATAAATTCGCCCTTTCAACTGCACTACAGTATTTACTGTAGCTTGGTTTTTAAAAATGTTTTACAGAGGAAAACAATTGATTTTCCTTTGATATTTCTTTAAAAATCAGTTATTATTCAAATGAATTTATTGGAATTAGACTTTTATTGCCTAAAAGATTCATTGGAGCATCATACAAAAAAACTTTTTTTTAAATTTAAGTATGGGGTGGGCTTTACTCAACAATGCTTGCTTGCCTTTTCAGTTCAACTTTTCCAAATTCCAGTTTTACATGCGTCAGTAATAGTTGTGACATGCATGTGAACAGCTAAAAAAATCAAAACATGGTTTCAGCTGTTAGAAAATATGTCACCCTCTTAACACACACTTTGGCAGTGTCACATTGGGTTGAGTGCCACGTGGGACTGCAAGTTGTCTTAGGAGGGGATGGGGTTAGAAGTATGCACTTGACCAGCCAAAAAGGACAAGTCAAAAACTTACCTCACGAATATCCCTGAACAAAGAATCTTTCATATAAGTTTTAGAGCAATTCTTTTCAGAAGTTCTACTTAGACCTTTGATGACGATAGACTATTAGAATTTATCTAATGGAACATAGGAAATTTGGTAGTAGTTTCAAACTAGTAAAAAGTTTTTGCTATTATACTGGTCAGCTAGTCTTTCTAGAAATACCATTAGATGTGCACATTATATTGTATTCCACTCTATATTCAAGGACATTGCCTTTGCCTAGAATAACATGTACAATATCCTTCAAGAAAACATGGACCCTTAATCTAAAAGGTTGAATTTTGTTATAAATACCAATAGGAATCAGTTGAATGATTATTCTTGTGTGTTGTTTATATTAATGTTTCCAGCTTCTAGTAATTGATCATTCATAGTTTTCTCTTTTGTGTCAGACACAGGCATAGACCACCATGCTCTGCTGAAGCAGTTCGAGCACCTGAACCACCTGAATCCTGACAAGTTTGAATCTACAGACTTAGATATGCTGATCAAAGCAGTAAGAATAATCCAAAAAACAGTGACTTGGAGGTTTTGTAATTTAATACACATATGTAATGGTTACACAGATCTTTAATTTCACAAGTCAATTTCGATGAGGTGGTAATGTAACTATTCTCTTGTGTATCTTTAAAGGGAGGTGGCTTAACTTTTTATAGTACAGATAAAAATTTGTACATACAGGTCTTGTAATCTCCTAAACATAATGGTAAAATCCAACCCCCGCCCCCCCCAAAAAAACAACCAACTGTAAAACCTGACACCTAGCTTGAATTATAGTAGGGCTACTTACATTTTTTATTTAGCCTACTTAGTGTGAGTGTTCATAGATTTTGCTAGAGAAGCACTATTCTTTTCGATTAAAATTCTGCAGGGATGTTACATAATGTGGCATATGTGCCACATTCCCTTTCTTAAAAAACTTTAGAAAATCCTTTTTTTTTGTTTTACTTTCAGTTTTATTCAGATAATTGGCGTGTGACAGTGTTTAACTCTAGGTGTACTGCATAATGCCTTGACATTGCAGAATGATTACCGAAATAAGTTTTGTTAACATCCATCACCTCATACAGTTACCAAAAATTTTTTTTCTTTTGATGAGAGATTTTAGGGTTTATTCTCTTAGCAACTCGCAGATATACCACACAACACTGCTAACTCTGGCCACCGTGCTGTACCGCCATCCCCAAGACTCACCCACCTTATAACTGGAAGTTTGTGCCCTTTGGCCACGGCCACCCAAGTGCCCACCCTCTGCTCTGGTACCCATAACTCCCATCTCTTTTCCGATGAAATAAGTTTTTTTTTTTTTTAAAGATTCCACATATAAGTGAATTGTACAGTGTTTGTTTTGGTCTGACTTATTTCACTTAGCATGAGGACCTCCAGGTCCACTCATGTTGTCACAGACAGTACCATTTCCTTCTTTCTGTGGCCGCATTGATGGACACAGGCTGTTTCCATCTCTTAGCTATTGTACATAGTGCTGCAGTGGACATGGGGATGCAGATACCCCTTTGCCACAGTGCTTTTGTTTCCTTCAGATGTACACCCAGAAGTGGAACTGCTGGATTATATGGTAGTTCTGTCTTTAACTTTTTGGGGAAACACCTTACTGTTTTCCACAGTGGCTGCACTGATTTACAGTCCCAGCAGCAGTGCACAGAGGTTCCCTTTTCTCCACGATCTCACCAGCATTTAGCTCTAGTCTTTCTGATGACAGCCATTCTAAAAGGCATGAGGTACTATCTCATTGTGGTTTTGATTTGCATTTCCCTAATTATTGATGTTGAGCACCTTTTCATGTACCTGTCGGCCATTTGAGCATCGTCTTTGGAAAAATGTCTATTCAAGTCCTTTGCCCATTTTTATATTGGATTATTTGCTTTTTTACTCCTTCCCATGTTGTTTTTGACCTTGGGTCCTTTATACATGTTCCTCGATGATCCTTCCCCTTCTTTCCCCTGTTATCCCCTTCCCTCCGCCTCCACCCTGGTCACTATCAGTAAGTTCTTCATTTCCATGTCTCTGGTTCTATTTTGCTTATTTGTTTGTGTTGTTGATTAGGCTCCAGTTATAGGTGAGATCATATAGCATTTGTCTTTCATCACCTGGCTTATTTCCCTTAGCATCATGCTGTCCAGGTCCATCCAGGCTGTAAGTCATTGCTGAAACCCATGTCAAGAGGCTTTTTCCCTATGTTTTCTTCTAGAAGTTTTATGGTTTCAGGTCTTATATTTAATCTTTAATCCACTAAGCGTTACTTTTTATATGTGGTGTAAGGGGTTTAGTTTTGTTCTTGTACCTGTGAATATCCAACATTTCCAGCACCATTTATTGAAGAGTATCCTTGGCTCCCTTGTCAAATGTTAGTTGATAGAAAATTCTGAAACTCATCTGGCCTCAGGGATTCTATCTAACTGTCTATCTATCTATCCTCTATTTATGCAATTAGAAACTTATGAATTGTTTATTGCTGGAATTTTCCTTTTTTTAACTTTAATTTTATTGTGGACACTGTTACAGATGTCCCCATTTTTCCTCCCTTGCCTGCCTCCTCCAGCTTCCCACCCCTTGCCCCCAGCCTCAGGGATTTTAGATAAGAGTTAGCATACCCCTCATGCTGTGCTGTACAAGCTACCAAACTAACAGTTCTTGCCTGGATGTTATGACACTGAGTTAAGTGGTTAGAAACTTATCTGGTTTTCTCTTGTCAAAAATGAGACAGTCCTTCCTTCTTCTTTTTTAAATCAATGTATATATTGCTTATGAGGAACTTCCTAAACTTTTAGTTTCTTTGAATGCCTGCATTTCTGATAATAATAATGACTGAAATAAAGTGGTAGAATCGAAAAGGAAGGGTGCACTCTATATTTTTTGGCCCTTCTATAGTGTATTCTGTTAGAAAATATGCTATGTGTAAGAATGGCTTTATTTGTGTTTTTCAAAGCATACCTTTTAATTTAATTTAAATGTTACTTTATAGGCTACTAGTGATCTGGAACATTATGATAAGACTCGACATGAAGAATTTAAAAAATATGAAATGATGAAGGAACATGAAAGGAGAGAATATTTAAAAACGCTGAATGAAGAAAAGAGAAAAGAAGAAGAATCCAAATTTGAAGAAATGAAGAAAAAGCATGAAAATCATCCTAAAGTTAATCATCCAGTAAGGACCATGACTTTATGAAATCATAATTAGAGGAAAATACTTTGTTCCAAATAGAATTTCTTCCTAAGTTACTGGTACTTAACTCTTGATTCTTAGTTCTGAAAAGTTCCTCAAATTTCTGTTGTATTTTGAGTCTATACTCATGTAGTCTGTGTTTTGTTTTGAGCAGTTTTTTTCTTTCTTCAAAACCAACTCACAGGGCAGCAAAGACCAGCTGAAAGAGGTGTGGGAGCAGACCGACGGCCTGGACCCCAACGACTTCAACCCCAAGACGTTTTTCAAATTACACGGTAACATGTTTATACACGTATTCATACTTCTGTCTGCTACTTGAAAACTTACAGGTTGCTTTACTCTTCATATTTCTGCCATGGTCTGCTATTGAGGCCTATCTACAGTAAATGTTAAGAGCTTTTCCCTAGGGTAGTATAATACTCTTTGTTGCTGATATGCAGTATAAAATGTTTTAGATCAGTAGCTTTGCCTTTATACCTATTTTTATTAAAAATTTTTTTTTCAAGATTTTATTTATTTATTTTTAGAGACAGGGGAAGGGAAGGAGAAAGAGAGGGAGAGAAACATCAATGTGTGGTTGCCTCTCATGGGCCCCCATCTGGGTACCTGGCCTGCAACCCAGGCATGTGCCCTGACTGGGAATAGAACTGGTGGCCCTTTGGTTGGCAGACCCATCTCAATCCACTGAGCTACACTAGCCAGGGCTTTATACCTACTTTTGCTCTTATGTCATTATCTATAAAATGAAGTGTCTCTGTGAGTAGGTAGGTTATATCTAACAGTATTTTTGTTACCATATTAAAATTTACTTTTATAGCACATTGCTTTACTTTATATTTTTTGAAAAAATTGTTTGAGTTTTCTAAAAAAACTATGGTAAACTATAAATAAGTGAAGTGTTATCAATTGGAGTGATCTGTGGCTTCATAAAGAAAGAAGGCTTTTCTGCAGTGTATCGATGCTTCATGTCAGCACTACTTTTGCAAACCATTTGTAAATAGTTGTATTTTAATTATTTATTTTCTAAGGCATTAAAATCAGTTTTTTGCATTGGGAACTTTAGATGTCAATAATGATGGCTTCCTCGATGAACAAGAATTAGAAGCCCTATTTACCAAGGAGGTAATGAGTTCATTAAGTATTTGGGTTTTTGCTCTCTCTTTCTCCTTCTAGTTTCTTTGTTTTATGGTGTTCTAAAATTTTTGTTTTTAGTTGGAGAAAGTATATGACCCCAAAAATGAAGAGGATGATATGGTAGAAATGGAGGAAGAAAGGCTTAGAATGAGGGAACATGTAATGAATGAGGTATGTTTTTAAAGTTTTAAGATATAGTACTTGTATGGATTATCAAGTTGTAATAAATTTTAAAAATATATTTTATTGATTATGCTATTACAGTTGTCCCATTTCCCCCGTTCACTCCCCTCCACCCTGCACACCCTCTCCCACTCACATTCCCCCACTTTAGTTCATGTCCATGTGTCATAAGTTCTTTAGCTTGTACATTTCCCATACTATTCTTACCCTCTCCCTGTCTATTTTCTACCTACCATCTATACCACTTATTCTCTGTACCTTTTCCCCCTCTCTCCTCCTCCCACTCCCCTGTTGCTAACCCTCCATGTGATCTCCATTTCTCTGGTTCTGTTCCTCTTCTAGTTGTTTGCTTAGTTTTGGTTTGTTTTAGGTGTGGTTGTTAATAATTGTGAGTTTGCTGTCATTTTACTATACATGTTTTTATATCTGCTTTTTCTAAGATAAGTCCCTTTAACATTTCATAAAAAGGGCTTGGTGATGCTGAACTCCTTTAACTTGACCTTATCTGAGAAGCACTTTATCTGCCCTTCCATGCTAAATGAAAGCTTTGCTGGATAGAGCAATCTGGGATGTAGGTCCTTGCCTTCCATGACTTGGAATACTTCTTTCCAGCCCCTTCTTGCCTGTAAGGTCTCTTTTGAGAAATCAGCTGACAGTCTGATGGGAACTCCTTTGTAGGTTACTGTCTCCTTATCTCTTGCTGCTTCTAGGATTCTCTCCTTCATTTTTACCTTGGTTAATGTAATTATGATGTGCCTTGGTGGGTTCTTTGTTGGGTCCAACTTCTTTGGGACTCTCTGAGCTTCCTGGACTTCCTGGAAGTCCATTTCCTTTGCCAGAATGGGCAAGTTCTCCTTCATTATTTGTTGAAATAACTTTTCCAATTGTTGTTCTTCGTCTTCTCCTTCTGCTATACCTATAATTCTGATGTGGGAACGTTTATAGATGTCCTGGAGGTTCCAAAGCTTTTCCTTGTATTTTAAAATTCTTATTTCTCCATTCTTTTGTGTTTAGTTGTTTCTTTCTTCCTTCTGGTCCACTCTATTGTTTTGAGTCCCAGTTTCCTTCCAATCACTATTGGTTTCCTGTGCATTTTCCTTCATTTCTCTTATTGTAGCCTGCATTTGTTCATCTAATTTGTGACCATAATCAACCAATTCTGTGAGCTTCGTGAGCACCAGTGTTTTGAACTGTGCATCTGATAGGTTGGCTATCTCTCGGTTGCTTAAAAGGATGGGGCTTTGATTTGTTCTTCTGTTTGAGCCATCTCTCTCTCTCTCTTTCTTTTTTTTCTTTTTTTGGTCTGGTTGCGCCTGTTATAGTAAGGGGTGGAGCCTTAGGTATTCACCAGGGCTGGGCACCTCAATCTCTGGGTTATGGGCTTGTATGTGTAGGCGGAGTCAAGGGGGAACAATGGCACTTGCTTCGCTCTCTGTGGGACCTCAGTCCCTTCTGCTGCTTCCCCAGAGCAAACTGGGCCCCTCTCGTGCCAGTTCCCATGTGAGTGGGCTTGTGCATGCTGTGTCACCCTCCAAGGACCTCTCCTGGGAGGCTGGGTGTCTCTCCATGCACCTCAACTCCCATAGGAGTCCTCAATCAGTGTTCCAAGGCTCTATTTCCCAGCGCTGGGATCCTGGGTTGCGCGCACTGCCTTGCTTTACAATTGCTGCCTCAGTGGGTCTGCTGTTTCCCACCCCTGAGCAGGGGTCTGCCAGCTGCCGTTTGCACGCACAGGGTCCACCCTCTGCTGTCTTGCCCACCCTGATTGCCTTATGTGCCCCCAGATGCCTTACTCGCTGGGTCCCAACTCTCTCTGCTCTCCAGGCAGCGAGCGGTGCCTGGCTGCCTGATTCCACCCCTTCTACCGGTCTGGATGAACGGGTGTATTTCAACTTCTTGGTTGTCCGACTTCCATTCAGATCTATTTTCTGTCAGTTCTGGATGTTATTCTGTTTCTAAATTGTTGTTATTCCTATCTGGGTTGTACGTGGAGGAACGGTGTGTCCACCTATACCTCCATCTTGGCTGGAAGTCCAAGTTGTAATAAATTTTACCACAATATTGAAGGCAAATTTACAGAATTGGTTTTTACTTGGATTTTGCATTTATGATCCAAAATATTCAGTAGGTTCCCCTTACTATAAATACATTATTTGTAGCTCCTTTAAAATATATTTTTTAACTTTATTGATTTTTGAAAGAAATAGGGTGGGAGGGAGAGAAACCGAGTGAGAGACAGACAGACAGGCAGACGTTGATTTGTTGTTCCACTTATTTATGCATTCATTGGTTGATTCTTGTGTGTGCCCTGATCAGGGATTGAACCCGTAACCTTGGTGTATACGGATGACTCTCTAACCAACTAAGCAACCCAGCCAAGGCTTAAAAGATTAAGATGCTGTTGCATATCAGCTATAAACATCCTTTTGGAAGTAAAAAAAAACTGTAGTCTAATATTTGGTATATTAAATGGCTGTTTTAATTTTTGATAAGAAAATCCAAATACCCAGTACCTAAGTGGTTTATACCAAATATTTATTTCTTGTTTACATCACTAAGCTGAAAAATCTCATTTAGACATCAAAAGCAGGGTTTTGCTTGAATGATTTTCACCTGATATTGATGAGTTGGGATTTCTGTTGACTACTGATATCCCAGGTAGCAAATGAATTCCTTTTTTTTTAGATTTTATTTATTTATTTTTAGAGAGAGTAGAAGTAAGAAAGAAAGAGAAGTAGAGAAATATCAGTGTGTGAGAGAAACATTGATGGGTTGCCTCTCAGGCTGCAACCTCAGCATGTACTCTGACTGGGATTTGAATCAATGACCCTTTGGTTCACAGGCTGGTGCTCAATCCACTGAGCCACACCAGCCAGGGCACAAATGGATTTCTTTTCGAGCATTACTTTTGTAACTGAATTTGTGATAGTTTACAAGAGCCATTGGAGGGTTTAGAGAGGTTGTAAACTTTTGTTTTGATTTACTTAGTTGTTTGTTTTTAAGAAAAAATGTTGACAGCATTTTCACTTGACTCTGGCTAAACAGTCCTCTTACCTGAAAGGTTATTTTTCTTGCCCAAACGCTTGGCTTCAACAGACATTATACATGGTGTAGTGAGGAAGGAAGACAGTAGTAGCCTTACCAGTCACATCAGCAAGTTCAACTTAGTGATCTAATGGGGTATCAGGGATGTAGATATTTCATAGTGTTTTCAAATTTGAATTATATGGAAGAGAAAAATACCTATTTTCTGATTCTAGTATGATGCCGAGTGTTCTGTTTTGCTTTTTTTTTTTGTTTCCCCCTCAGTGATTTGTGGACGTGAGGCTAGCCCTAACTGCTGTATGTTTATGTAGTAGCATCTACTGCAAGACAGTTTCCAGTGTCTTAAGTAATACGAGAAAGAGTTATTTGATTTTACTACATTTTCCTTTAACAGGTTGATTCAAACAAAGACCGATTGGTGACTCTAGAAGAGTTTTTGAAAGCTACAGAGAAAAAGGAATTCTTGGAGCCAGATAGCTGGGAGGTAATAGAACCAACTTGAAATGGGCCGTATGGTTCAAGAAATTCTACATCAATCCTTTCTACTTTTAACTTTTATTCCCCATTTATGTATGCATGTATCATCTTACTATTTTGGCTTTTCATATAAAATGTCACTTTAAAATAAGGAACTTGAGTTCTTAGAAAGGTTGCAGCAATTGATCTCTTATTTGTAATAACATTACATATTAATAGAAGTCTTTTAGGAAGGGAGATTTCTTTCTTCTTTTGGCCTTACTTTTTAGATTTTTTTAAAAGGATTTTTTTCTTTACCATAAATATCTGATTGTTTGGGGAGGGCAGATTTCTTTAGAAGTGTTTTTAAAATAGTAAAATAATGTTCATTCTTAAAAATTAGAAATACAAATACATTTAAAGAATAAATTAGAAGTTACCTAGAGGTAGACACTAAAATTATATATTGTGTTATGCCAATATAGAAATAGTATGTGTATTTAGTATATGCCTTTATAGCATACAATGTATAAACAGTGTACAGTCCCATTTTTAATTTACATATACAATAAATTCATAACTATATACTGTGTCCAGAAAGTATCCAGCCACGTACTATGAAAAAGAGGCATTTATTGAAAAAGATACAAGATACAAGAAACATTGTACATAGGACAATGATGCCTCAGTTGCCCTCAAATTAGGTTTCCTGGGACCTCACACAGTTCTGTTGATCATCATCAGCTGCCCCATCATATTTTCCTGAATCTCATTGACAGACTAAAATCTCTTCCCTTTCAAAGGTTATTTGAGTTTGGGGAAAAGTGAGAAGTCATAGGCTGCCAAATCTGGGCTGTAGTGGGGCTGAGTCATCTGGGTAAGTTGATGTTTCTCTAAAAACCTCTAAACAAGAGGTGATGCCTGAGTGGGCACATTGTCATAACGAAACATGAGAGAAAGAGAGAGGAAAGGACAGGGAGAGAGAGAGGCACATTGCTTTGTTGTTCTACTTATTGATGCATTCATGGGTTGATTCTGGTATGTGCCTTGGCAGGGGGAGCGGACTTGAACCCACAACCTTGGCACATGGGGATGATGCCCTAACCAACTGACCCACCTGGTCAGGGCCTTAGGTTATATTTCTAAGATGTTTTTTCTTACTTTTTGTTTCTTTTTAGACATTAGATCAGCAACAGTTCTTCACAGAGGAAGAACTGAAAGAATATGAAAGTCTAATCTCCTTACAAGAAAACGAACTCAAGAAAAAAGCAGATGAGCTTCAGAAACAGAGAGAAGAGCTACAGCGCCAGCATGACCAGCTGGAGGCGCAGAAGATGGAGTACCATCAGGTCATGTCGTGTGAGAGGACTGTGGCGTGAGGGGCTTTCCCAAAAGCCCGTGTTGTCGTAATATTTCAGTGTAGGATTAGCTATAGTATTCTGAATGTTGGTATTTTTTAAAATTGCTATGTTGAATATTAATCTAAATTGTAGGTTTGAAAATCACATTTTGGAAAATAATGTTCTTTGAGTGTGTTGTGATTTGTCAAAAGTCACACGTATAAGAGAAAAACATGAAATAATACTGCCTTTTAAAACATTCTTTTTCCACTCCCCAGGTTGTACAGCAGATGGAACAAAAAAAATTACAACAAGAAATTTCTCCATCAGGGCCTGGTGGACACTCTCAGTTCGAGCCACGTATGTGATTTTTTTTGCTTATTTCTTTGCTTAAGGAAATAAAAATGCTGAATAAACTGAAATCCACATTTGTTATGAATATAATTTCAAATTATTAATATCTATGCTATTTTCTATATATTTGTGGAAATAAAACACCTTGTATTACAAAAAAAAGAAAAGGCTTCTATAATATTTTTATGTATCTGTACATTTCAAGAGCTGTATAATTTGATATCCATATTTACCATGAAGTAATTCATTTCAACATTGTTTATAATTCTTTCTTATCATTTATTGATATCAGAGAACATGCTTCTTTCCTATTTATTTATTTATTCAGTTAGTTATTTTACTATAGCCTCCATTCTGACTTTATTAACAGTTATAGTTTTACAACACTTGGTACTGTAAGCTTTCTCCAGGCAGACAGAGTATCCATTTCCATAAAAGTTGCAGGTAAAGAAAACACAGGTTATTTGCATAAGCCTGTTGAAACATTCCAATGTGCATAATCCCATCACTCTTTCTGTTGGGTGAACAAGCTTTCTGTTCTCTCAGTCTAATTGTAGCCCACACCAAGCCTTCACCAGTGGGGCTCTCATGTCAAAAAGTCCAGAAACTTCTGTTCTCCACCTCCTGACCATCTTACCCACTCTGGTGCAAAGGCTTTGGCTCCTCCTCAGGGAGGGGTCAGATCAGGGCACCCTGGTCCTTTGGTCGGCCTTCATCTATATTCACCCCCCTAACCACTGCTCCACACAGTTTCAGGAAAAATGGCTCATCATCATCTTTGAAGCGTGGCTTTCAAAATGTCTCTCCAGCAGGTTAAGTAAAGCAGCCTTGTTTGGGGCCCTCAAGGTCCTGCAGGAAAACCAAGCTGGGGCGGTGAAGCCACTCTTCATTACTGACCCATCCAGTTGAGCAGCTGCAGTTAAGCTCTGCTGGGTCCCCCAGGGTGGGGGTGCGGTCTTCACAGATGCATCTTCCCGTGTTCTAAGCTGTTCGTCCCACTCTCAAAGTTGTGTGGCATTGGCAAGCAGACCTTGACTTTTCTGGTCCATTTGACGTGGAAGATTTATGTGGGAGGCCCTTTTCCTTCACACAGATACGTGCTAAAAAAATCCAGCTTGCTGTCTAGTCATCCAAAATGTGAAGACAGGAGGTCAAACACCCAGATTTCACTTAGTTTTTCAGCGTCTGCCATAATATCTTTCAGAAGTAGAATGATCTGCTGTGTGTTTCTGAGCTCCTAAATTGGGTTTGTGTTCAACATGGTTTTTTAATCATGATCTATGATATGCTAAGTGTATTTAAAAAAACAAATATTATTTATAAAAGGACACTCAGAATTAAGGAAGATACTTTTAAAATGAGAGTATATGTTTTTTTTTTAACAGTCATTTAATGTCCGAGGTCGTCACTCACCAGAACTTGGAAGAAAACTATAACATCAACATCTGTGTCATCTTCTTACCTCCCTTCCTCTTTCTCTACTCAATAAATATTTTAAAGCATATATGGAATAAAGGAGGACACGTTTTGTAGGAGAACACATGTTGTTTTGGACACACATATTTAAAGATTGAAGTCCGTCAGAACCAGGAAGGAAACTCCGTATCTGCTCTCACTTTCATACCTCCCCCTTTTTCCTTTGTTCTCCTTTGGCGCTTTAGTTAAGGGGCCTTCTGCCACAATGTAATGGAACTCTCAGTAACTGTTTAAGTGAGAAAGCTCTGTCTCTTGCTTTGGAAAGAGATTGCCCTCACTCATGAAAATAGATATTCTTTTATCAGTGCTTATCATCCCCTCTCTTAATAAAAGTCTCTTGGATGTTCATAATTCTCCTGAGAAGGCCGTCACATCCCCCAGTGTTTCCTGGTAACTTCCCCCTGACTTCCTCAGCTAGAAATTCTTCTGCTGAGTGGCTTTTGCTACCACTTCGAATCATTTTTCATCCACAGTTTTGCATTATACTCTACCAGTTAAGATCAAGTTTGCTACATATAACCAAAAACCAAAGATAACAATGGTTTAAACTAAGTAGGAATTTTTCCTTTTATATAAAAGAAATCTGTAGGTAGGTGGTGTGCAAGTTCCTGCCTTTCTGCTCTGCTCTCTTCCAGGCATGGGTTTTATCCTGTAGTTACCCCATCCGCACTCTCCAGGATTGCTTTGGGAGGCAGTGGAGGAGGGCAGGAAAGGAACTTTCTGCAGCTGAACCAGCCTCCTGATGCAGTTTTCTGGGTAACCAAGCAGCATTTGAACTTTCATCTCATTGGCCAAACTGAGTCACACAGCCATCTCGCTGCTAGAGAAGCTAAGAAATCCTTGTGGCAATGTGGCCAGCTAAAAGTTAGGATTTTTTGACTGAAAAATTTGGGAAGAGACAATATTTGGTAGGCAACTTTTAGTTCTAACCTAGACAGCCTTATTGAGTACCTAAATATCTGTGTACACTCGTCTGAGACAGGAAATGCTTCCCCCACCTCGAAAGAAAACCACCAAAACACAGCCCATTATTACACACAGGTCAAAGACTAGGATATCTGGTGGTCTACAAAACTGAAAAGCAAGGTACCTGCCTCATGAGTGCCCTCTGCATCATGGTGGGATAGGTACAGGACAGCTGCCATCAAATGAAGCTTTTTGAAAAAGGGAAGGTGGCAAACGTGCAATCACTGATCCATAGTAAGGTCTCTCTGCTCTGTTCGTAAACACATTCCCTGGCTTTCCCATGAGGCAACTCCTGATTCACCTTTCTGGGAGGAACTCCCTCGTCTGATGTCCTCAGGGGCCCGAGGCATTGCTCTCTCGGTAGTCTTTATTGCCCATAATTTTTTAAATGCACATCTGAGTGGGCATTGGCAGAGTGCCTTTCTTGGAGGCTGGACAGTTCTAGCACTTCCAAATAACTTCCCGTTTTTTGGGTTAGGGGGCTTGGGGATTGCTTTTGATAGTAAGAGGCTCTTGTAGGCTAGGTTTAAGGTTTTTATTTTGATTTTTGGCAAAACTTGGCCCTAATAAGTTAGTTTTTGGGTGTTTTCTTCACTTATTACCATGAATAACCACCAAGATGATGTGAAGGCATAGTTTTTAACGAAGGAACCATGTTTACTTGCTGGCTTCTGTGCCCTCCCTCTCCACAGGGATCTTAAATGAATGGCCCCTACTGGGTATCATATACAGGACAGGCTTGGATGGGATGACAACAGGCTTTATTTGATCTTTTTCCTCAGGATGGCTCCCCTTACTGGGCAGGAAATTCTTAAGGGAGGGTCTTGAAAAGGTTAAGGAAGTTTTAGCTGCTTCCTCAGAACCTGTACTTATGGAGTATGGTAGTACTTGACTTTATCAGTTCTTCAGGGCTCCAGATTTGGGAGTCTGTCCATTTGTCTTGTAGACAGACAAGTCCCTCAGCAAAACTCTATGCCTTCCCATCTCTGCAGACTTGTTAGCCTTAGCCTGCCTGGCATCTGCCTTGTAGGACTGTGCGGAAACGGGCTGAGGCAGCTCCCTCGTTCTACTGCCAGCGTTCTACTGCCACCTTCTCTGGTACCTTGACTTAGGTTGGTGTGAGGTCTCATGTCCCAAAGCCCAACCTTCTCAACTCAGCACGCTTCATGTGTCAGATCCTTTTACTTGCCGCACCTTCCTTCTAGCTATCAAGTTCTGTATCAGTCAAGATTCTGGGTCCTGGGTAAGGGAATCTTCCTTAGTTGTTAAACTGAATGGTATTGGTGAAGGGGGATAGGTAGCTCACAGCGTCTTCAAGAGGGCTGAAGAAACAGAACCTAGAATGAGCTTCTAGGAGGTGCATCGCAAGAGAGGGATCCCAAAGGAGCTACTGCTTTTGGATCAATGGAGAAGCTTCCTGCCATCTTGGAACGCTGCCTGCTGCATGAGGAAGATGTGAGCAGTGGGCAGCTCCTGAGCTGTCACACCACGGCCGCCCTGCTTCGTGTGGGCAAAAGCGGACACTTTGTGTGCCACCTCTCTCCCCGTGACTCTGTTCCGGGTGAAAGTCTGGAGTGAGTGCATCCCACTGTTGGGCCAGTCAGGCCTGGAGCTGTAGCTGCAAGGCAGGTTGGGAAATAATAGTGGTTAATTTTCCTACCTCTGCAGTACAGGAGCGCACGTTTAAAGTTTTGAAGTGAGCCAATCCACTGCAACACCTCATAAGTATACATTGTTTCTCTTCACATTGATAATGTTTAAACTCTTAGTCCTCATTTCACAATGTTTTTTTGTTAATTATTGCCTATTCCTCCAAACATACTTCAGACTTTTTCCTTCAATCATGGATCCCAAAATTAAGTATAGCAATCTAGAAAAGTTCTGCTTATATTCAGCTTAAAAAAAAACCCCCACAGAAGTCACTCAGCCAAGTAATGCTACTTTTTTTTTTGAAACGAAGAATTCCTATCTTTATTGTTACATTGTAGGAAATATTAAAAAATGGTCTGGAATATCCTTGTATTGACTACTGTATCTCCTGAGGTACACTCTTTTAGATGGTAGATTGTGGTTAAATTGGAAAGTTGTTGAAGAAGAACTTAGAGAAATTTCTCAGAATGCCTTTTTCACATGAATAAATGATAGATATTAACCTATCCATACCTCACAGTTTTCCAGCAAATTATTATAATTTATATTATTTTAAAAAGAATCGTTAGCTAAAATTACTTATAGACTTAAGGAATTGTAGTTCTGTGAGTCCTGGGCATTTGTAAATGAATATTATTTCTTAGAAAGTAACTAATGGTACTTTCTCTGGTCCTGTTAGAAAACATTGGTTCTGTGTTTAATTTATACCATTCTCCTTCACACCTTATTAGGCATTAGTCTTTGCTTTAGCTGATTTAGTGGTATGTATCAGCAATTTGGGTTTTGCTTCATATATGAATTTTCATGAAACATGTAAATTTTATAGTATACTTAGGTCTATATAATTAAAATTTCATTTTAAAAGATGATGGTCCACTATAATTTTTAACACTCACTAAAGACAACTGCAGTGTAGAAAGAACAGTAAAAATCCTTTGAGATATGCCTGTATATTTATTTTAACCAAGACTTGTTCACAACAGCATAATTTGAAATCACTAAATGTGTTTGTAGAGTTAGGCAGAAAAATAGCTCCATTTCATTTTTCCTGACATCTACAGTTTTCCTCACAGAGCTTTTAGCATTCATTTCAACCCATGTCAGGCATGCTCTTGACCATGAACGTCACCTACCTGCCTGGTCATTGCCACCCCTTGCCTGTACTCACCTTTCATGCTCGCCCTTCTGGTGGCCTTCAAAGCTCTGCATGCTCTTGTGAACGAGTTTTCCTTTGTTTGTAATTTGTATGCAATCTACTGTAGACAATAGCTTTGACTTTTCCTGTGCACATTTTCTTACCTCCTTTTGTTTTATCCTTAGTGATATTTCCCAAGACTTTCCAGGATTATGAGAATGTATCTTGTAATTAAAATGTTAAAGTTTTATTTTTATAATTCTTAACAATTTTGCCACACCAAGGAATTTTAAAATGAGAAATGATTTATCTTCCTTGTGATTTTAAAGTTACGACTTTCTGAGTGCTTTAAAATTGAGAGAAATGTAAAACTTCATTAAGTTCTCTTTGCCATCTCCCTGTGAACCACTGTCTTAAAATGTTATTTTTGTTCCATTTTGGTCCATTGAAAAGTCCCCTTTTAGTGACATGAGAGGATCTGTCACTTCCTTCAGCCCCCAGCCTCACTTGGGACCCCCTGGGTGTGGAGTGGGAGACCCGTGTGCGGCCCGGCCCCTGTCTGTTCTGTGTCACGCTCGTCACCTGTTTTGCTGTCTGCTCCTGCCCCCCTGCACTTGTTCAAGGGATCCGAGTTTGTTTTACTTGTGCATTTTACTCTTTCTGCTTAGGGGTTTGATACTTTGTAAATATTTCCTTATTAGAGTATTGGTCTTGGAGATAATTTCCTTTAAGAACATATTGATAATTTCCTTAACAAATATGCCAGCCCTTTGATGTTTTAAACATTATCAGAAACTGTCATTTTTGTGTAGTGATTGCTTCTTATGCTATCGAATTGAGTGATGTTAAATAATAGTTTAACAAATACATTGTGTACTCCAGTAGAGGTTTTCTATCTCATAGTTGTTAATAAAATTTTTTTTTAATAGACCAGGACATGAATCCGGCAATGTTTGATTAGAAGAGAAGGAGCATCATTCATTGTTCCTTCATTACTCTTGCCTGGGTGATCTGAGTTTTAACTAAGTTCTTTCCTTTCTAGTACTCTCCCATTTTCCTACTTCCATACTGACTTCTCCATGATTGTATTTTTTTAATGTATTTTTTTTTGAGAGAGGGGAAGGGAGGGAGAGAAGCATGGATCCGTGGCCTCTCACACTCCCTCAACAGGGGACCTGGCCCCACAACTCAGACCTGTGCCCTGAATGGAACTCATGACCTTTTGGTTTGCAGGACGATGCCCAACCCATTGAGCCAGGCCAGTCAGAGCTCCATTATCACATTTCTAACGCACTGCCCTGGTCACTGGAGAAAGCTCTGAGAGTGTAGGATGTTGTAGCTCCCCTGCTGGCTGTCTTGAAGTTCCATAGCCACCAGCTTCCTGGGGCTTATTTTCAGGTCTTTCCAATGAATTTTCCCTTTCCCTCACAATCCCCAACTATCTGCCTTTTCTCTAAGAGGGTCTGTTGTACTACTAATGATTACTAATTGAGATATTGATGCGACAATATTAAAATAGGATTAATTTCCAAAAGGTGTATGTCAAAGATACAAAAAGAGGCTAAGTGCTTTACCTGAAGGACACTTGGAAGCCAGTTAATGCCCCAAGTGACTATTTCACTCTTTTGGGATGGCTGAGGTGACGTCTGGGTAGTTCTGTCCGCACCTCTGTTTAGTTTCAGGGCCCCAGGATGGAGGGTGCAATCCTGCCGTCAGGGTGGACGAAGGGAAGGTTCTTCTTTCTCTGAAGCTGTTAGTCCAGCATCCACTAGCCCCCATGGAAGTCATAATAAACTCTTTTCAATTTCAAAGGGTCTGTCTGTGTTCCAATTAATATAGACTCTAAATGAAATATCGTATTTTTGGAAGGCATGTGTTTGTGTTTGTATGTAACATTGTGCTTAAAATAGGTCTGGAGGGAAGACTGTTAGTTATTGCATGTCTTCTGGAATGTAAACATGAAAAATCTTTTTTATCATTATTGCTTTTCCTTTTTATGAAGGAGACCAATGCTGCTTAATCCATATTATACCAGTATTTATTATGTTATAAAAACCATCTAATAATGGTGATTTATGCCTTTTCATCCTATTTGAAAGTCAGGATTATGCCCTAGCTGGTGTAGCTCAGTGGATTAAGCAGGGGCTGCGAACCAAACGGTCGCTGGTTCGATTCCTGGCCAGGGCACATGCCTGGGTTGCAGGCCAGGTTCCTAGTGAGGGGTGCTGGAGAGGCAGCCACACACTGATGTTTCTTTTACTCTCTTTCTCCCTCCCTTCCCCTCTCTCTAAAAATAAATAAATAAATAAATAATTATGTCAGGATTGGAAAGACCTTTTACTTTGTTGTTACTAATTTGAGGAGATTTCAAAAATTTTTAAATTTAAATGTTGAATGAAAATTTAACCTTTTTTAAATATGTGGCCAAAAATATTCTGTTAATTTTAAACTGGAAAAATGTTAGCAGTCTAAAAGTGTACTTAATTCTTCATGGGTTATTCAGATAAGTGGACTATTTTTGAAAATACGAGGAAATGACTGGATTTTAGCTTGATCAGGAAGGCACAGACTTATGCAGGTTTGTCATATTTGAATTCATTTGTTGACTGTATGTTGTCAAAATTCTTTCAGTGCAATATTTGTCAGAAAGTATTCTCATTATTTGTATATGCTCGTTTTTAACTATGTTAAATGTAACATCAGAACAAGGTATAATATTTCATGTAATTTTTTGGGAAGAAGACAAATTCGACAACTGTTGAAAGAATGCATTGTTTGCAGAACACTAACATTACAGAGTCATGGAGTCTCAGGCCTCGGAGACCGTTCACCCAGGAAGGAGCCCCTCACGCAGGGCTTCCCAGGAGACTCCTCGTTAGTGCCCTGCTTCCATTCTTCCAGTGACAGCACGGACGTGTAGTCACAGTGGTTCCCAGGTATGTCTGCATAAGGGGATCACCTGAGAGCTTCGAAACATATGGATGCCTTTGTCCCATCTCCAGGGATTGTGGCTCCATTCTTCTGTAGCGTGGCCTGGGCTTTGGAAGTTCCAAAGGTCTCCAGGTGGTGCTGATGTGAGGATGAATTTGGCAACTGCTGACCAATCACGTGGAAAACCACATCCACTTTTTCCAACATCAGAGAATCTACCCTGGAAACCTGGGTAGAGGAAACCTGACTAATGTTATGAAGGTTCTTCTACCAGCATTTAGGTGGCACTCCAGAGGACGTGTAGCTACACACATGCACACTCCAGTGTTTTATAATATGGAGAAAACATGTATTTCCACTTACATTCAAGAACCATTTAATATGGGACTAGGTATTAGGACCCTGGCTCTGTCATTTTCTAACTACAGTTGACCCTTTGAATAATGTGATTTTGAACTGTACAGTCCACTTAGGTGTGGGTTTTTTTCTCAATAAATACTGTAAATGTATTTTTTCTTCCTTGTGATTTTCTTAAAGTTTTCTTTTCTCTAGCTGCCTTAATTGTAATAATATAGTACATATAACATAGAAAATATGTGCTAATCTATTGTTTATGTTATTGGTAAGGCCTCCAGCCAGGGAAGGCTGTCAGTAGTTAAGCTGACAGGGAGTCAAAAGTCACACATGATTTTCAGCTGTGCAGGAGGTCAGCACCCCTAACCCTTGCATGGTTCAAGAGTCAACTGTGTATGATGTTTTTCCTTCTAAAGTCTAGAGGGAAAAGGAGTTTCAGAATGTGAGTGTTCAATTTTTTGTCTAACTTTTCAGTTTGAAATCATTTCAGACTCGAACAACTTGCAAAAATGGTTCAGAGAATTCCCATATCCCTTTCATGCAGCTTGTCCAAATGGTAACATCTTACAGTGTTATTAAACTCAGGCAATTGAAATGAATACAAATCTACCAACTCATCTGCAAATTTTGCCAACTTTCCCACTAACATTTTTTTCTAGGCCAAGAGCTAATCCAGGATCACACATTGCTTTTAGTTGTGTGTGTTTGTGAATGGTAAATTTGAAGAAGAAACCACACCTAACCAAAAAAATTACAGGAGTACAAATAATCCTATTATGCCCATTTCTTTATGCATCAGTTGTTAGCATCCTGCCACATTTGTGCTAAAGCTTTCTTTTGTTGTGGAATTCTTTTTTCTTTTACTGAAGGACTTCAGAATTAAGTTGCAGACATTGTCATCCTATACCCTAAATAGGTGAGTATTTCCTAAGAACAAACACTGTAACCCTGGCTGTGTTGCTCAGTTGGTTAGAGTGTTGTGCCGATATACCAAAGTTGTGGGTTGAATCCCTCGTCAGGGAAGGTACACAAGTAAGTGGAACAACAAATCCATGCTTCTTGCTCTCTGCCCCCTTTCCTCTCTCTCTGCAGAATCGATTAAAAAAAAAAGAACAAAGACATTATTTTGTAATAACCATCTTATAATGATGAAATTCAGGAAATTTAACATTGTTACAATACTATCAATCTTGCATACATTAATAGTATCCACCATTTGTCTCAATACTATCGTTCATAGGAACTTTTTTCACGATTTAGGATTTCATCCAGGATTAAGCTTTGCATTTAGTTGACGTGTCTCTTTCATTTCCCCTGACCTGGAACAGCTCTTCAGCCTTCCTTTGTCTTTCATGACATGGATATTTTTGAAGAGTACAGGTCAGTTGTTTTATAAAGCAAAGGTTTTTAAAAAACATTTTATTTTATTTAGTTTCAGATAGAGGGGAAGGGAGGGAGGAAGAGGAGGAGAGAAACATAAATATGTGGTTGCCCCTTGCACACCACCGACTGGGGACCTGACCCACAACCCAGGCAGGTGCCTGACTAGGAATCAAAAGGAAGAAATTCCCTTTGGTTCACAGACTGGTGCTTTATCCATTGAGCCACACCAGCTGGGGCAAAAACAAAGTTTATGAGAAAAAAAATCAGTCCTAAATGGGTTGGACATTTTCGTTCACAAGTGTTGTTTGTTGCAGCTTCTTTCAACGGTACTGGTCTTGATCAGATTTCTGAGGCTAAGGACTATGCTTTACTCACCTCCTGACAGACCGTAGCAGGCAGAGTACAGGAGATGGTGGCTGTGCG